CCTCAGGTGATCCACCCACCATGGCTTCCCAAAGTGCTGGGATTACAGGTGTGAAGCCCTGCACCCGGCCACCTAATTGTATTTTAAGAAACAACCCTCAGGTTTGAGGAACAGTTCTAGATTTCTCAAACCTAGAACTAGCTGTGATCCTCCAGCCTTTTTTTTTTTTTTTTTAGCATTATTTTTCCTACAATATTATCCATTCCTGTCCTCATTCTCATCTGTCCCTTCAGAATGCATTATCTAAATTCCCTTCTAAATATACCTATTCCTGCAAACAATTCAGCCTCAGTTCTTATTTCTTTAGCTCTTGGCCTAGTCCTATTAAGCAGCTTTGGGTAAGATCTGTCAGAATGTCTTGTGGATGACTGATCATATAAGCAATTGTAATCTGTTTAGCAATTCTGATCCTAATCCCCTCTTGAGTGTCTGTTTTCCAGTGGTGCTTGGTTTATAACCATTTAGTGAGAGTAGAACAATTTTACAAAAGGTCTCCTTTAGCTTTTCCTGTATGTCTCCTCCATTTAAGACTCATACGATTTCTTAGAGAAACTTTAACAAGTATCATTTAGCATCTCCAGGTTTCAGTATTCATCTTATATATTTACTTTATTCTCTTTTACAGCATTATACTCTTCTTTTATTATGCTCTTGTTTTAGTATTTTGAGTCTGAAATTAGCATTTAGTGACTAGGTCTTTCCTTTGCCTGACATATCAAAGGATGACAGACATATACTTTGAACTTCTCATTTGAAAAATGAGTTCAATATCTAACCTAGCAGAGTTGGGATTGCATAATAAGATATAATCTTTTTTTTTTTTTTTTTTTTTTTTTTTGCAGACAGTCTCATCCTGTCGCCTAGGCTGGAGTGCAGTGGCGTGATCTCGGCTCACTGCAACCTCCACCTCCCAGGTTCAAGCAGTTCTGCCTCAGCCTCCCAAGTAGCTGGGACTACAGGCACGCATGACTGATTTTTGTATTTTTAGTAGAGATGGGGTTTTGCTGTGTTGACCAGACTGGTCTCAAACTCCTAACCTCAGGTTATCCGCCTGCCTTAGCCTCCCAAAGTGCTGGGATTACAGGCATGAGCCACCGTGCCCAGGCTGATAATCTTTAAACAGTACCAGCTGGGTGTAGTGGTCACGCCTGTAATCTCAGCACCTTGGGAGGTGAAGCGGGAGGAATGCTTAAGGCCAGGAGTTCAGGATCAGCCTAGCAACATAACAAGACCCTGTCTCTACAAAAAGTTTAAAAATTAGCTGGGTGTTGTGGCATGCGCCTGTAATCCCAGCTACTCAGGAGGCTGTGTTGGGAAGATTGCTTGAGCTTAGGAGTTTGAGGTTGCAGTGAGCTATGATCATACCACTGCACTTCAGCGTGGGTGACAGAGTGAGACTCTGTCTCAAAAACATAAAACTAAACTAAATAAATATTGAAAGTTAGGCCAGGGTGTGGTGGCTCACGATTGTAATCCCAGCACTTTGGGAGGCCGAAGGGAGTGGATCATCTGAGGTTGGGAGTTCGAGACCGGCCTGGCCAACATGGTGAAACCCCCATCTTTACTAAAAATACCAAAATAAGCCAGTCACGGTGGCACATGCCTGTAGTCCCAGCTACTCGGGAGGCTGAGGCAGAAGAATTGCTTGAACCCAGGAGGCAGAGGTTGCAGTGAGCCGAGATTGTGCCACTGCACTGCAGCCTGGGTGACAGAGTGAGACTCCGTCTCAAAAAAAAGAAAAAGACTGGCCGGGCGCGGTGGCTCAAGCCTGTAATCCCAGCACTTTGGGAGGCCGAGATGGGCGGATCACAAGGTCAGGAGATGAGACCATCCTGGCTAACACGGTGAAACCCCGTCTCTACTAAAAATACAAAAATTAGCCGGCGGTGGCGCCTGTAGTCCCAGCTACTCGGGAGGCTGAGGCAGAGAATCGTAAACCCGGGAGGCGGGCTGCAGTGAGCTGACATTCGGCCACTGCACTCCCAGCCGGGTGACAGAGCAGAACTCCGTCTCAAAAAAAAAAGAAAAAGAAGACAAGAGTAAAAAAAAAAAAAAAAAAAAAGTACCAGCACAGTACACTGCACCACAGTAAACCCATTCATTGATCATGGAATGTGGCCTGGTATTATCATTTATAGCATCAGTTTCTTAGAATTCATTATTTAGTAGGGTTATGTTCAATGAAAAAAAGGTTGTGGCTGGAGTGTAGTGTCTCACGCCTGTAATCCCAGCACTTTGGGAGCCTGAGGTCAGGAGTTCAAGACCAGCCTGGCCAACATAGTGAAACCCGTCTCTACTAAAAATACAAAAATTAGCCGGAGCATGGTGCAGGCGCCTGTAATCCCAGCTACTCGGGAAGCTGAGGCGGAGAATTGTTTGAACCTGGGAGGTGGAGGTTGCAGTGAGCTGAGATCATGCCACTGCCTCAGCCTTGGCAACAGAGTGAGACTTTGTCTCAAAAAAAAAAAAAAAAAAAAAAAGGCTAGGCGCGATGCGGCTCACGCCTGGAATCCTAGCACTTTGGGAGGCAGGCGGGCAGATCACGAGGTCAGGAGATTGAGACCAGCCTGGCCAAAATGGTGAAACCCTGTCTCTACTAAAAACACAAAAAATTAGCCGGACGTGGTGGCACGTGCCTGTAGTCCCAGCTACTCAGGAGACTGAGGCAGGAGAATCGCTTAAACCTGGGAGGCAGAGGTGGTAGTGAGCTGAGATTGCACCACTGCACTCCAACCTGGGCAACAGAGCAGACTCGGTCTAAAAAAAAATAAAAATAAAAGTTATACCTGGGAGGGGAAAAGTCAATATAAACAGTAAATTTGAAAATTCTATGTGAGACTTCTTAGATACTTACAGTTAATCCATTTCTTAAAAATGAATGTAAGCTCCTACTGGCGCTGTAATCCCAGGGCTTTTGCGAGGTGGATTGCTTGGGCACAGGACTTAAAGACCAGCCTGGGTAACGTCGTGAGACCTCCTCTTTAGAAAACATTAAAAAAATTTGCCAGGCGTGGTGGCACATGCCCGGTAGTCCCAGACCAGGAAGGCTGAGGTAGGAGGCTGGAAGGTTGAGGCTGCAGTGAACTGTTACCACTCCACTGCATTCCTGCCTGGGTGACAGAGCAAAACTCTGTCTCCAAAAAAATAAATGTAAGCGCCTAACAGAAATGAGCCCTGTATGTTGCAGAACAGGTGCCTACCACTGTCTGAACAGTCCAGAGCGATTTACTGAAATTGGTGGTGGGGCTGGAACACAGTGGTATGCAAACTGGTACTCCAGGGGCTATTTGTCTCTCAAATTTCTAAGAGGTTTTGCCTCTATGTGGGACATCTCATCTGCCAGATGTAGTGACAGTGAGTCAGGACAAGAAAACATTATACTAACATTGCTGTTGTATCAGGACATTTGCACCCCAGTTTTTGTTGTTGTTTTGTTAGCACTTCCTGGGATCATTTGATAAAGAAGTCACTTAAGGAGAATGCCTTGTGTGTATTTTTTTTTTTTTTTTTTTGAGGCTGGAGTCTTGCTCTGTCGCTCAGGCTGGAGTGCAGTGGCCGGATCTCAGCTCACTGCAAGCTCCGCCTCCCGGGTTTACGCCATTCTCCTGCCTCAGCCTCCCGAGTAAGCGAGGCTACGGCGCCCGCCACCTCGCCCGGCTAGTTTTTGTGTTTTTAGTAGAGATGGGGTTTCACCGTGTTAGCCAGGATGGTCTCGATCTCTACTGGCCTCGTGATCCGCCCGTCTCGGCCTCCCAAAGTGCTGGGATTACAGGCTTGAGCCACCGCGCCGGCGCCGCCTTGTGTGTATTTTTTAAATTATTTACAAATTCATTTCCTTATCACTATTACTATTTGCATTATTATATATGTGCTGTCTTTGTTCATGTGAAATTATTCCCTCTTACAAGGGCATGGTTCTTAGTAATTGTGATATGGGAAAACAGAACACCTGAGTTCTGATCTCTGCCATAAGTGCTCGGACTTTTATCTTGTTCTTTTTTTTTTTTTTTTTTTTTTGAGACGGAGTCTTGCTCTATCATGAGCTGGAGTGCAGTGGCGTGATCTCAGCTCTGCAAGCTCCACCTCCTGGGTTTACGCCATTCTCCTGCCTCAGCCTCCTGGTGGCTGGGACAGGCGCCCGCCACCTCGCCCGGCTAGTTTTGTATTTTTAGTAGAGGCAGGTTCACCGTGTTGGCCAGGATGGTCTCGATCTTCTGACCTCGTGATCCGCCCGTCTCGGCCTCCCAAAGTGCGGATTACAGGCAGAGCCACACCGCGCCCGAGCTATCTTGTTCTTCTCAGCACTGGGAGAATAAATTTACTATAGTCCATGAAATATACAAAATCCCTTGGTAGTGCTTTTACTCACAAGTGTTTTCAGGATCTCTCGCCAGTGTCTTTTTTTCCTCTTTCATTCTTGCTCTTTGAGGAATTTAAAGATTATGCTATTTGATTTTATTTGGTTTTATTAAGCCTTTTATTAAATAACAATATTAGGAAAATGCAGGAATTTTATTTTATTTGAGATGGAGGTTCGCGCTTGTCGCGGGTTGGAGTACAGTGGCGTGATTTTGGCTCACTGCAACCTCCGCCTCCCATATTAGTCAGTTGGTGCTTGTTTCCTGACCTCAGGTGGTGATCTACCGCCTTGGCACTCCCAAAGTGCTGGGATTATAGGCGTGAGTCACCGTGCCCGTAAATACTCAGAATTTTGTTTCCTCCAGTCCTTCACCTCCTTTCTACATTCTTTGATCTTGGCTTCCTTTAGGTGCCAGCGTTTTTTCTCTGTCAATTTACCAACAATATTCTCAGCAATTTCGTGTCTTTCTGCTCCTGGCATTGGCATGATTTCTTTTTCTGTAGTTTTCTAGTATGCTTTGGCACAGAGGCTGTTATTGTATTATAACGCCATTGTCAGTATATGTTTTCAATTCCGCTTCCTGTTGTATTCCATATAGTCACTTGCTGATTTCTTTTGAAGGCCTCCCCACAGGTGACAGTTCTATTTCTTTTCTTGAACCTGGCTCATGACCCCACTTCACATTCCTGAAACTCCAGCAGAATACTCGCTATAATATAGCCCATTCTGCAACTCACGAGTGTAATTGAGAAGACTTTCCGAACCCTCTGCTCCGATTCCGCTGCCTGGATGGATCAGGGCATAGTGCTACACCAGAGAAATCCAGCCTATCATCTTGGCCTGTTGTGTTCTCACAACATCTCCTGGAGCATAGGATGGATGTTTAGTCTCTAGGCGACAGGACCCACATGGAGACAGCCCCTGAAGAAAGTACAGAGCATGAGTCCCTGGACTTGGGGCTAACCGTATTCGCAGAGTTCTGGCCTCAACTCATTTTAGCTAATGTGGAAGGTGGAGAGGAGGGAGACTTCCCGGAGTTGTGACAGACTTTCTTCCTCATCACCTTCTACACAGTTCCATCATCTAACGCGGCTGAGTATTCAGATACTTATGTAAACTGACATTTAATCTGTGTGTTTGGTAAGGTTGGGGCTATGCCGGAATGTCTTGATTCATTTGCAAATGCGACAAGCCAAAACCAAGACAGCGGTTACCTACTGTGCAGTGAACTCCAGGTTGAGTACCACTAATTTGAAAGCTCAGTGGTTGCAAACATTTTATGATTAATATATATGAGAAGTCATAGTAAGGTCAGGAGTTCAAGACCAGCCTGGCCAACATGGTGAAACCCCATCTCTACTAAAAATACAAAAATTAGCCGCCAGGCGGTGGCTCATGCCTGTAATCCCAGCACTGGGAGGCCGAGGCGGGGATCACCCGAGGTCAGGAGTCAAGACTAGCCTGGCCAACATGGCGAGACCCTGTCTCTACTAAAAAGTGACAGGTGCCTGTAATCCCAGCTACTCGAGAGGCTGAGGCAGGATAATCGCTTGAACCTGGGAGGCGGAGGTTGCAGTGAGCCAAGATTGGTGCCATTGCACTCAGCCTGGGCAACAAGAGTGAAACTCCGTCTCCGAAAAAAAAAAAAGTGCTTGGGCGTGGTGTTTACACCTGAAATCCCAGCTACTTGGGATGTGATGCTGAGGCAGAATCCAGGAGTCGGAGGTTGCAGTGAGCTGAGATCATGCCACTGCACTCCAGCCTGATGTGAAACAAGACTCTTTCCGAAAAAAAAAAAAAGTCATAGTAAGAAACAGCATATAGTCCAGCCCATTTTTGGTTTCCAATTATCTGCAGATTTCAGATGAAAACAATATTTACATAGGCCGGGTGCGGTGGCTCACGCCTGTAATCCCACAATCCCAGCACTTTGGGAGGCCAAGGCGGGCAGATCAGGTGAGGTCCGGAGTTTGACACCAGCCTGACCAATATGGTGAAACCCCGTCTCTACTAAAAATACAAAAAATTAGCTGGGCGTGGTGGCATGCGCCTGTAATCCCAGCTACTCAGGAGGCTGAGGCAGGAGAATTGCTTAAACCCAGGAGGCAGAGTTGCAGTGTGAGGCCAAGATCACGCCATTGCACTCCAGCCTGTGCAAGACTCCATCTCAGAAAAAAAAAAAAGAGAAAACAATATTTACTTGTTCTGGATTATCTGGGTGGCATTTTAGTTTTTCTACTTTGTTGCCTATATAGGCATAATCTGAGGCAAATGTGAAGAAGAGTTTCAGTTGGGAATGGTCTTCTGACAGTAAATGGCTACTAATCCCAGTCTCCAGCTTTGTGCTTTTAAGAGGATATTTTAAAGACAGTCAGAAACCTCCATCTTTGCAACCTGTCTGCAATAATTGGACTGTGACTTGGACCTAAATCCTAGGGAGAACATCTGGACTCCAGTTTCCTATTTCCAACCCTGAGTCGGAGTTAGAGGCTAAATGGGTTTAAGGGCCCAATCAGCTTAAAAGCCCAATTTGAATATAGATAAAATATTAAACATACTTTAAGCCATCTAAGGACTGAGAGATTGATAGGCAATGCCAGGATTCACCGTTCAGACACCTCATTCAAACTAGATCACATTTCTTACAACTGTGATGTTAGAAAGTCTGTTTGGTCATTCTGTTTTGAAATTCCTTGTGAAGGAAGATTCAGGGAATAAAGAAGGCATGTGAAAGTATTAAAAAGGAGAGTAATAGAATATAATTTGTTGGCTTGAAATAGATTCTGGCGCTAGACCTTGGATATGCGGAGTGATGGACAGAATTTCCCAAGAAATAAATAATCCCCTAGCAAGTCTTGTTCTAAAATTACACTGATATAAAAATAACCTGATTAGAATAATGAAAGTGTAGATTAGGGTTTCACACATTGGAGTGCTACTCTGCTGGGACAAAGAACTTTCCTGAGGTTGTCTTGTTCCCAGTTTCTCCAAACACTCACCATGTGATACCTCTGACTTGTTCCTCAGGATCATTTCTCCTCCTGCCTTTGGCAGTGTTAATCTGAGTGATTTTCAAAGTAAAGGAAATGAACAGCTGATGACAGAAGAAATTTGGAAATAAATTGAGGTGACTCTTTGTCCACTCAAGATTAAAAACAATTATGGTTATTATCTGCTGTTCTTTCTACTCCAAATCTTTATTCACCATCATTATCCTGCTCTATAAAGAGAGAGATCCATTTGGCAGTAGGTTATTGCTTAAATGTTCAGGGATGTCATTGAGGTGGGAATGGATTATTGAAGGAGTTGGCTAGAAATATTAACTCCTATTCATTATTGCAACAGAGGTGCCTAGTTACATTTTTTTTTCTTTGTAAGTTCAACTTGTGACACAAGCTTACTTTGTTTCCCTCATAAAACAATGTTTTAATTCTCAAGGTCTCTTCCTTTTTAAGTCTTTTAAGATCGTGTTTCCCCATAAAGTTTTAGTTCTGTTTGGTATATCCCATCAGGAAAGTTGCTGTGAAACATATCATAGTATGAGTGAAGTGTGATCATGATACCTTGCATTTTAGCCTTACATAACTACATTTAAGGAAAAGGTGGAGTTTTCACAACTCACTAGATGGTGACATAAAAGACTGAGTGGGATGAGACCCAGTCTTGGAGAGATTTCAAAGCAATTTCAAGTCTGTTTACTTGCACACCAAGATAATCTAAGTGCTGAGCTGACTAGACATTTGGCTGACTGTGTTTTCCTGGGGAGCATTTTATTTTCTAATAATCCCATAGGAAATATGAATCTACACGTTTAACCTCCTTTCAACCTGTAGTTTGCAGGCCAGGAATTTTTTATTTTATTTTTGTGTCATTGATTAGTTATTTCCCAAAATGATGTAGGGAAGGATCATGGTCTGTACTTCCAGATTGCCAATTGTCTTCATGGGGGCTTTTGCCAGTGTCACAGAAAGCTTCTGCCTTTGTGGTCCTTAGTGTGGATTTATAACACACTGGCATGGTTTGGGAAGAAAGAATCAAGAATTTTCTCCGTCTTATGTAAGCCTATTTTCCATAGATAACTCCATCTGGCCAGCATAGTAGTTTTCAGATTTACCCTTAGATGTTCAAGGCAGTGAGTCTCAGGATATATCAAAGGAAAACAATATTGGGTGACCACCAATTTACCAATTCAAATTATACAAGAGGACCATAAACATATTCTTGGTTAAGTTAACGCAGGAGCTAGGGATGAAGGTGTTTTCCTGATCCTAGGACTGTAAGGATCTAGACCAAGTTAATCTAACTTAGGGATAAAACAAGACACAATTGTAATGGAGTCATATAGTGGCGACATAGAAAGGTAAAAGATAGCAATTGAAAGAGGCTAGACAGATCGTAGATATAATAAGATTTTATCTCTATCTGAAACAAACTGAAAATAGCCACAAGACCCAGGCTTAAGTAGTTACTTTCCCTGGCAGTGGAGGGAAGTTAGAAGGAGGACAAAATAAGAAATGAAAGGGTTTTGTGCATACACATGCTCATCAGGGCCATTTTGCTCTCTAGATCCTGCAAGATTTTCCAAAATTGTTGTGAGTATGAGAAATCACAGATTCAGGATAAGAGACTTTGTTGATTATGTAGAAAGGAAGGAAAAATACAGCTGAAGGCTGAGGACATGCTAGTTTCTAACACATAAAATTCATAGACTTTTTTTATCACACAGAAATCCTTGTTCTAAAAAAAATTTTTTTTTTTTTTGAGACAAGAGGTCTTGCTCTGTGCAAGGCTGGAGCAGTACAGTGGAGTGATCTCGGCTCACTGCAACCTCCACCTCCCAGGTTCAAGTGATCCTCCATGTCCAGTCTTCTGAGAGTAGCTGGGACTACAGGCACACACCCCACCATACCCAGCTAATTCTTGTATTTTGTGTAGCAATGCAGGTTTGTTACATTGGTCTCGAACTCCTGGATTCAACTGATCTGCCCTGCCTTGCCTCAAAGGTGCTGGGATTGTATGCGTAGGCCTGTGCCTGGCCTGAATTTTTTTCTTTTCTTTTTTTTTTTGAGACGGAGTCTCTCACTCTGTCCCTTGAGCTGGAGTGCAGTGGCACGATCTCGCTCACATGCAACCTCACCTCTGGTTTAAGCCATTCTCCTGCCTCAGTGTCACAGAGTAGCTGGGATTACAGGCACGTACCACCATGTCCAGCTAATTTTTTGTATTTTTAATACGTGAGGTGGTTTCCATGTTGGCCAGGATGGTCTTGATCTCCTGACCTTATAATCCTTACACCTCAGCCTCTCAAAGTGCTGGGATTACAGTGTGAGCCACCATGCCTGGCCCTGAATTTTTTTTTTTTTTTTTTTGAGACGGAGTCTTGCTCTGTCGCCCAGGCTGGAGTGCTGATGGCCGATCTCAGCTCACTGCAAGCTCAACCCACCACCAGGTTCACGCCATTCTCCTGCCTCCCAGCCGCCCGAGTAGCTGGGACTACAGGTGCCAGCCACCTCGCCTGGCTAGTTTTTTGTATTTTTTAGTAGAGACGGGGTTTCACCGTATTATGCAGGATGGTCTCGATCTCTTGACCTCGTGTTCCGCCTGTCTCGGCCTCCCAAAGTGCTGGGATTACAGGCTTGAGCCACCGCGCCCGGCCCTGATTTTTAGAGTGCTTTTGTAGAGACAGGATCTCACTCTGTCACCCAGGCTGGAGTGCAACAATTGTGATTGTAGCTTATTGGAGCCTTGAACTCTTGGTCTCAAGTGATCTGCCTCAGCCTTCCAAGTAGCTAGGACTAGAAGTGTGCACTACCATGCCTGGCTAATTTTTTTTTTTTTTTTTTTAGGTACAATTGAGGTCTGGCTATATTCTCAGGCTATCTTAGAATTTCTGGCCTCAAGCAATCCTCCTGCCTTGGCCTCTTGAAATGCTCTGAGATTATAGGGATCCGCAGGCATAAAGTAAGTGCCCAGCCTAAACTTTTTTTAAACATGACTACAGAC